CTAAAAATGTTTCTAAATAAGTTCATAATATTGAATGTTTTCCAATTTTTTTTTTCTTTCTCAAAATAATTTGGCAAGTGTCACCATTTTTAACATGGTTGCCTTTATTTTTTTAAATGTTCTCCAAATAATTTGGCAAAGTTCACCATTTCAAACTTACATTTACATTATATTTTTAATTTGAATGGTTGTTATCAGTGGTAATTAGCTGATAGATGTGGGCCAGTGGGGGTCTTCTGTGCCTTCTAGTAGGCTCAAAAGGCTATTATCATCCATCCATGTGGTTAATACGTTTTACTAATAAAGAAGACTCCAGATCCAGATCTGTTTTTACACGCGACGGTTGGGTTGGCGGCAGCGGAGATCATTAATAAAATACAATTAATGGGAAATTTAATAAATAATTCTTATGGCTAATCAGCTATACTAATAGAGAAGACTCCAGATCCAGATCTGTTTTTACATTACTGTGATAGTTGGGTTTAGGGTTAGGGTGGGGGTAGACGTTAATAAAATACAATCAATGGGAAACTTAATAAATAATATTAACCATGTGGATAGATGATAATAGCCTTCTACCCATACTGTCCCATATCTATGAGCTAATAACCGTTAATAACGGCCATTCAATCGAGTGATAACATTCGAAATTAACAAAGTTCACCATTTTAGAAGCTTTCGTTGGCCATTTTCAATATCTTTCCACAAAATGTTTATTTTGTTTATTTTGAGGTTAAGCTGGTTTCATGTTCGCACATACGTTAATTTTAACGATCCCTATATTGTTTAACATGCTCATTTGAACACTCGGTCTGAAATAGGATTTATGTATGACTTCAAAACAACATCAGCACTGTTTAATTGACTGTGAACGCTGATGTTTGTGATGGTCATTGGCTGCTAATATGATTCGACTATTTAAAATGAGCAGATAATACTTTTCATGAAAATCTATTATCAAGTGAATATAAAACCAAATGTACCTCAATCAAAACATTGCTGAAACTTAAATTCACCAAATTTTTGTAAAGGTTCAATCCTTATTTTGGATCTTTTGTTTCTCCCAAAACATAAAGTGAAGTTCAGCATTTTTGATTAATTAATTTTTCCATCCAAAATGTTTATTTTTATATTATATATATTATTTTCAACCTAGTATAATTTGGAAAACTAGACCTTTCCATGCATGTTCCCTTATAAAAACTGTGATGTTTCCAAGGAATATCTTAAATCTCCTTTCAGAAAATGAAGAACTAATGTTATGTTTGCGTTACATGTTTGCATATCATCTTTTGTCTAGGATATTTCCTGAAGAAAGAAAAACAAACAGTTTTTCTAAAAGCCAGCAAAATCCATTTACACTCAAAGTGTTTCTGTTTCAGTGAACATTTGTTTTCTGATATGTGTACATGAATGTATATGATAATGAATATGCACTGATACCAACAGTGGGATTCAGAACCATGAACAGGAAAGGAGATCAGAACCATATTCACCCCCCGCCCCTTTCCCCAAACAAAATAAACCCATTCCAATTCCCTCAAACGAAGAGATGGATAAATTAAACATCATTAAACAACATTCCAGCACATCTGAAGTCAATTGTCAGACCTGTTCTTGTTTTAATCTCACAAATAAATAATAAACAAAATTGAAGCGAGTGTTCCGATAGGAAAGAAAGCAGCTAAAAAACGTCCGCAATTCGGGAACTTCTCCACTCCGAGATTGTGGTTTGTAGCGTTTATGAGGTTTTACCCAGATACAGAGAGCAGTTATATTGTCCTTTTCATGAGAGAAACAAAAAGGTCAGATGTACTTTATATACAGGTACATTAAAAAAAAAAAAAAGAGTGAGGTAGATAAATGTCTGAAGGAAAAAAAAGTCCCCATGTCATGACAAAAAATATCACATAAAATATCTAAAACCGATATTTAATCAACAGGGGGAATTTTGGGGGAAGATTTGGAAATTTTTACAGTGATTATAAACAGATCACCAAAATAAATAACGAAAATAAAAAAGCCAGGATGGGGGTGGGAAAGAAAAAGTGACATATTTTCCTTTGAAAATCCTTCAAAAATAATCAAATAAATTCAAAAACTGGCGCTCGTAGTCAAACCTGTATAGTATAGAAGTGATGGATATTACAAACACAACTGCATAGAGATATGCTGAATCGTATCTGTATTATGGTTGTTTCTCACGCTCTGCTTGGAAGGAAGAAAACGCAGAGTTCATCAACAGACAAAGCGCTGAACCATCGATCTTTAGGCAATGAAATGAATTGAAAAATGGGCCAAACTTTAAGTCATATTTCATCTGTAACCAAGGAATGAATAAGCGAGACCAGAAAGCACAGAAACTTTGACCTGAGAGTATTTGTTGCGCATTATAATAATGTGATATGAGAGACAGTGTCGGGAAAAAAAAAAAAAAAAAACACAAGTCAATGGCATGAAGACAAATCAGTCGCTGGATTTACATTTAAAGATCTATCAAAACTGAAGGCATTAAACAAGAAATCTCCACTTTCTTTTCTCTAGAAGCATCATAAAATGACTGTAGTGGAAAGGCAAAGGATTACACCTGAAGAATCTCTTTACATTTATATATATATATAATATAAGCTTGTATATTACAACCACAAAAGAAAAAACAAGATTAAAATAGCAGCTTTTTTCAGCACGGACTTATAGATGATGGATCCGTAACTGTAAAAAAGGTACAAAAGTGACCGACAAACGATGCACGCGCTCTGTGGTCCGACATACGACTGAACGACCGTTATCATTCGCTCTTTTTTTTCCCTTTTTTTTTTTAAAAAGTGTCTACAATGTAACATCTGCTGAATCTGTTGTTCTGAACTTGCTAGAAAAGTGGAGATATTCTGAGTCTTTGTGTGTATGATTGTTTTAAAAAGGGTTAGTTCACCCAAAAATGAATATTGTTATCGATTAATCGCTCTCATTTTGTTACAAATATCCAAGCCATTTGCTCATCTTCAAAAAACAAATGAAGATATTTTAGATGAAATCCTGGAGCTCTCTCATTCTCCACAGATGTCAATAGGGACGACTCATACAAAGTCCAGAAAAATATTGTCGAAAAAGAATATGACTTAATATGCCTTCAGGGGTTTAATTACTAATCTCTCACCCTAATGTCGTTCCAAAACTCCTGAGAGCTTTGTTCATCCTCTGAACACAAATGAAGATATTTAAGATGATATCCTGGAGCTCTCTCATACATAGACAGCAATGTTCCTCACTCGTTTGGATTCAGGAAAGCATATTCAATTCAGACCATATATGACTTCAGTAGTTTAATATAAATATTATCAAGCTATGAGAATACTTTTGTGCACACATAAAAATATCTTCATTCAACAGTTTCTTCTCCTCAGTATCAGTATATTGCGCATATTCACAGACACTGAGGTGAAGAAACTGTTGAATAAGGTCGTTTTTTGTTTTTGTTTTTTTTTTTCAAAAGTTTTCTTGTAGCTTGAAAATATTTATATTGCACCACTGAAGGCATATATGGTCTCAATTGAGGATGTTTTCTTGAATTTAAATGAGTCAGGAACATTGCTGTCTATGTATGAGAGAGCTCCAGGATATCATCTAAAATATCTTAAATTGTTGTCTGAAGATGAACGAAGGTCTTAGGGGTTTTGGAACGACATTAGAGTTATTAGTAATTAAACAAGTGAGGGCATTTATGATCTGAATTGAAAAAGTTGAGCATGTTTTCTTATATTTAAACAAGTCAGGAACATTTCTGTCTATGTATAGAATGAGAAATTAGTACTTAAACCACTGAAAGCATATATGGTCTGAATTAAGAATGTTTTCTTGATTTTAAACGAGTCAGGAACATTGCTGTCTATGTATGAGAGAGCTCCAGGATATCATCTTAAATAACTTTATTTTTGTTCTGAAGATGAACGGAAGTCTCAGGAGTTTTGGAACAACATTAGAATGAGTAACTAGTAATTAACCCACTGACAGCATATATGGTCTGAATTAAGAATGTTGAGGATGTTTTCTTGAATTTAAACAAGTCAGGAACATTGCTGTCTATGTATGAGAGAGCTCCAGGATATCATCTAAAATATCTTCATTTTTTGTTCTGAAAACGAACAAAGGTTTCAGATGTTTTGAAATGACCTTAGGCTGAGAAATTAGTAATTAAACCACGGAAAGCATATAAGGTCTGAACTGACATAGTTTAGAATGTTTTCTTCAATTTAAACGAGTCGGGAACATTGCTGTCTATGTATGAGAGAGCTCCAGGATATCATCTAAAATATTTTAAACTGTTGTCTGAAGATGATTGAAGGTCTGAGGGGTTTTAGAACAACATTAGGGTGAGTAATTAGTAACTAAATAACTGAAGGCATATATGGTCAGAATTGAGAATGTTGTAAATATTTTCTTGAATTTAAATGAGTCAGGAACATTGCTGTGTACGTATAAGAGAGCTCCAGGATATCATCTAAAATATCTTCATTTTTGTTCTGAAGATGAATGAAGGTCTCAAGGGTTTTGGAACGAGAGTAAGTAATTGATAACAAAAATTTTAATTTTAGGTGAACTAATCCTTCATGTAAAAGATGTTTGGGATCACCTGTATGTGGTCGTATATATGTGCATAACACGAATGAATGGGGAATTACACACAATTTGGCAACATTAAGAAAAGAAGTGAAAGACTTTTGGCAGATGCAAGATTTCTCCTTCACCACAGATGATTTCAGAAAAGAGTGGAAGCCAGAGATCTGAGATGAGCGGAAGAGGAAGTCGTACACCATTTTGCTCATTTCTTTTAGACGCACGTCTTTGGAAACAAAGACAATTAACTCGCAAGTTGGAGATATGCAGAGCATGTTGTAATAATGCCACCGTACCACTACTGGCTCTCATAGACCAGCTCTGGAAGTTTAGAAAAGTAACAAAAACAGCCTATTGAGTGCGAAAGTGATGTTTTTTTTTCTTTTCATATATATATATTTTTTTTCAGTCAGTGATCCAGTCTGGCGGAAATAACAAATGAGTTCAATCATCAATTCAACAATTCAATCGGAACGCACAAAAAACAAAGAACTCCAAACTTTGTCCGTTGAGGTATGATTGAAAAAATTGATTGCCTGGACTCTCTCTTTTTTCGTCTCTAAACGAATATCTTGAATATTTCTTCTCAGGACACCACACAGTGGCTTGACACACATCCGACGCATCCGGCGATCAGCAAGCCGAAGACTGGGGCAGAGGCAAGGCACGCTCGTTCTTCCGGCCCCCGTTCATATGAGCGTAAGGCTGACCCTCCTCAAAAGGCCCCCTCAGGACCATGGAGGGCCCGTTGGCCGCTGATGTCGGAAGCGGGTGTTTGTCCGTGGAGCTGGGTGATGAAGGAGGCGAGGACGGGGACGAGCAGCTCTGGGCCGCAGCTGTGCACTGCTGAGGGGGGGATATTGAGGGCGCAAGGGGCTGCAGGCTGGAAGACGGTTCTAGAGGGACGTTCTCCATGGTTCCCACGTTCTCCATGTCCAGCTCCTCCGTGTCTGGGGGCTTGTTCTCCTCGCTGTAGAAAAAGCTGGTCTCCTTGAAGCCTGCCTCCAGGTCCTCCTTGATGCTGCTGATGATCTCCAGGAAGGACGGCCGCATTTTGGGGTTATACTGCCAGCACATGCGCATCAGCTCGAACCTGGAGGATCAGACACAGAGGAGATGATCAACACGGCATTCAGAGAAAAACACACAAGAATTTGAGATGATCAGGCTAATTATTTATCATGATTTAATTGTAATATATAAGTATAAATAATCATTAACTATCACTTAGATTAGCGTGCTAATGCTATCAATAGCATTAGATTATTGTTATTATTACTATTAAATACAAATACCTAATTATATATATTTAATATATATAGTAAAGAGGCCCATTCTTTATCTCCATGCTGCAGATGGTCTGTTTAACTGTTTTCTCACTAGTGAAGCATTAAGTTTTTCGACCTACAAAGTCCGCCACATAAACAGCAAATGCGCCATGATGCTACAAAAATAAAAACTCTTAAATAAACATTTTATGCACATTATGCTCAAAACACACCCATAACTCATTATTCTTCTCAAAATGCTTTTGCTCAAAATGCTTTTGCGCCATGCACTTTAGACTTTGTGCTTAGATCATTAAAAAAGAGCCCACCTGTGAAATTTATTATTTTAAAATTATTTTCACATCATTTTGTTAACAGAGAAAAAGAAAAATTGCAGTATTTCCCATATTTTTTTCTTTAGGAGAAGTCTTACTTTTAGTAAGATTAGATTACAGCTGTTAATAAAAAATAAATAAATTAAGATCAATATTATTATAACCTATTAAATCCTTTCAAATGCACTTTAAACTGAATATTAGTAACTTGCAAAATAACTAGTAAAATATTATGTACTGTCATCCTGGCACAAAAAAAAAAAAAAAAAAAAAAAAAAAAAAGAGTTATTACTAATTAGTAATTTGTAGGGCCAGACGGAATCTGCAGACATTTTTTGCTATTTCTGTGCAGAATTTTGGTAAAAACCTGCAGATTTATGCGAGATGATTTGGGGAGTATCATAACTAAAACCTTTATTTACATAAAAATAAAAACTAATCCTTTTTAACTTGTATTTAATGTTTACAATGCAAATCCAATTAGATCCACTTATTTGGTAAACAAAGCAAGTCTCTCATATAACTACTAAAAAAGAGAAAGTATGACTTTACAAACTATATTGTAAATAAATCATATAAATACTTTCATATTGGTCAATAATATTACTTAAATTAATTTAAAAACTGAGAAAATTTGAATTTACACACATTTACACAAGTAAATAAACAGAATCAATTCTGTGGAAATCTGCGGGGACATCTGCATGCACATATCCGTGTGGGCCTAGTAATTAGTTATTAAAACTATTATGTTTAAAATATATCTTTCCTCCATTAAACAACTCTTTATATATTTTAAATAATGAAACTTTTACAGGAGGGTTAATAATGTTGCCTTTAGCTGTATACACTGTACTGCAACTATTCCATAAAATGGCTCATGTGATCATGTTCATTCATCCATGATTATTTAGCCGAGCTGAGAGCAACAGGTGTCAGAGTGGCGTAAACACGTCTGCTCTCAGCGGGTCGGTGTTGAATGCCTGACCTCTTCACTATACACACAGCAGACACTGAACTGTGCTGAAAACACACTGCAGAGGCCAGCTCACACACACCCTCCTGCTTTACACTTCAACATTTAAATTACACATGCACTCGCACACACATCGCCTAAGAATACCAGAGCAGTCTGCTGACACAAACACTGGCAGCCCTCTCTCTCTCTCACACACACACACACACACACACACACACACCGAGCCAGTGCAAACATCAGCTGACAGTTGCAAATACCTACACACCACATACACAAACACTCACACCACCAGCAAATCCAAGAGTGTCAGTTTCACCCTTATACACACACGCACGCACGCACACACGCACACACGTATGTTGGAATGGCAGTGGAGGTTTTCCTTTTTTTATACTGTGCAAATTGTATATTTTGTCCTTCTAACCCAACCCAACCCCATTAGAAAACAATCTGCATTAATACGTTTTCAAAATATTTCATCTTTCATTCAAGAGTTATAAACATTTCGTGGAGGTCAATTTAGGTTCATTAGGTGCATTCAATTTGAAGTCCTCATCGTGATGTAAAAACACACACACACACACACACACACACACACACACACACACACACACACACACACACACACACACACACAAACACATACACACATATACAAATACACACATACACACATACACACGCTTTTGGTTTGGTTGTCCAGCTGTGAGACAGAATGACTCTGGACTCACTGCCCTCAGAGCCCCCAGCTTGTTTTCTCTGTATGCTACTAAATAAAGTTTCCATTGATGGTCAGTCAGTTCAGGTTGGTTTTTAGCATCTACATGAACTGCTATATAAACTACAGTACACTAAATCTACAGAAGCCTGAGAAATTCTGAATATCAAAACGAGAAATACAAAATATGGAGTCTTTGTTGCTCAAGCTACAAGCAAAAAAGCTACAAGCAAAACTTTTATTTAAAAACTAAATGTATTTAATTTAACAAACAAATTCTACAGTAATTGAACATTTGAGGTCATTGTGAAATCATCCCTCTGAAAAAAGCACAATAAATTATTCTACACTTTTATACTATTGTATTATTTTATATTACACACTTTTTTGATACATAATTCAGTTTTTTTCTGATAAAAGAGTACAGACAGCGTGATCTTAAGTTACCTTTTGCTAAGCAAGACTATTTTTATCCATTTCTCAGTGAATAAAGAGATTTTTTTTAATCAATAAACAGTTATATATATTAAATTAGAGTTTTATTTTACCTAACATCTTTAGGAATAGAAAAATAATACATTTAAATTCAAACGAGTTATTGCAAAAAAAAGTAAAATAATTACAATTAACAAAATTGTATCATGAGATTTATAGTTTTTATGTTTCCCTTGATTTTTTCTTTTTATTAAATTTTTTTTTATATTTAATATATTAAAATGATATTTAATATAATTTTAATATTAGTATTATTTTTACTTTATTATTTTTCCTAACAACACTAATTTGGGTGTACTCATTTTTGGACTGTGATCTTTTATTATTGATTTTTGTTAAATTAGTTTCAGTTTTAGCTTTGGTACTGACTAATTTAATGTTATACACAAATATAATATTGTAAAGCTTTCTATAGAAAATATTAATTTAAAAGAGAGATTATTGAATGGTATACTCATTTATGCTGAGCACTGTAACTAAACTACTTAAGTTAATTTGACTTAACTACAACTGAACTTAACTCAATTTAACTCAACTGAACTTAACTCAACAACTGAACTTAACTTATCTCAACCTAACTCAACAACTGAACTTAAATTATCTCAACAACTCAACTCAAGTTAACCTAATATAACTCAATATAGCTCAACCTTACTCTACTTAACTCAACTCAACAACTGAACTTAACTTATCTCAACCTAACTCAACTGAACTTAAATTATCTCAACAACTCAACTTAACCTAATATAAATCAATATAACTCAACCTAACTCTACTTAACTCAACTCAACAACTGAACTTAACTTATCTCAACAACTCAACCTAATATAACTTAATATAACTTAACTCAATATAATTCAACCTAACTCTACTTAACTCTACTTAACTTAACTCAACAACTGAACTTAACTTCTCAACAACTCACCTCAATATAACTTAACTGAACTCAATATAACTCATCTCAACAACTAAACTCAACTAACTCAACAACTGAACTTATGCCAACAAATAAACTTAACACAACTTAACCTAACTCAACTCAACTGAACTTAACTCAACTGAACCTAACTCAACAACTCAACTTAATCCAACTCAACTCAACAACTGAACTTATTACAACAACCTAATTTAACTCAACAACTGAACTTAACTCAACTCAACTTAATTCAACTCAACTCAACAACTGAACTTATTACAACAACTTAATTTAACTCAACAACTGAACTTAACTCAACTCAACTTAATCCAACTCAACTGAACAACTGAACTTAACTTTATACAACAACTTAATTCAACTCAACTCAACAACTGAACTTATTACATCAACTTCTTTTAACTCAACAACTGAACTTAACTCAGCTCAACTTAATCCAACTCAACTGAAGTTAATACAAAAATTTAATTCAACTGACTCAACAACTCAACTTAACTTAATACAACAACTTAATTCAACTAAATCCAACTCAACTCAACAACTGAACTTAACTCAAATCAACTTAATCCTACTTAACTGAACAACTGAACTTAATACAACAACTTAATCCAAGTCAACTCAACAACTCAACCTAATACAACAACTGAACTTAACTCAACTCAACTTAATTCAACAACTGAATTTAACTCAACAACTCAGCTTTAACTCAACTTAAGTCAACTCCTCAACTCAACTTAACGTTAACTTAACTCTATACTAAACCAAAGTAGCTTCAACTAGAGTTTTAGTGCATTTTGCATTATTTGTTGAGTTTTATTAGAAATATCCCACTGCCTGCACGGGACCATTTCCTCAATGAGCAAAAGCCTTTGTTCTAATCACTACACTGCACATAATGAGCTGTTTTAATGGAATAAGTAGACTTCCCTCAGAGGCTGAAGCTGGGTGACCGTTGGCAGGGTGGCTCTCATTAAAACGGAAGACAGTGGTAATAAAGCAGCATGTACCAGCTTAAAGCTCCTGCACTCCTTTTCTGGCAGCTTTAAACAGCACTTCATCCTTCCCGGCACTTCTCTCTAAAAGCGCTAAAAGGTGCCAAACGTCGGCCAACCACAACAAAGACCCCAAACCAGGGCACATTGAGATGAAGATGAAGCCGCAGCCAATGCAAACCATTGTGCACTTCCCGTCAATGAAGAGTCGGCTGAGGAAAAACACATTTCTCCTAAACAAAACATCATTGCTCATTTGTTTTGTCGATAAGTCAAGAAGAAATTGACAGATTGTGAAGTTTCATTTTCATTGAGACGTTTCATCTCTTTAAATAAAGTGTAAAAAAAAAAAAAAAAAAAAAAAAAAAAATA